TTTTTTTTTATTTTATTTTCTTTGATAATTATTATTTTATAAAAATTAAAAAATACCCCAAAATTAAAGTATGCGGTAACCATATTCATATGGAAGTTTGTGGGGTGCCTAACACCTTCTCAACACTTAATCGACCCTTCGAACCTAATAAATTTCTACGAAAACCTTGGTGATCTATCCCACCTCATTTGGATAGATGGTGACTCCATCCATTTTGGCACGTCAACAAGTGGTTTGAATATATGTCAAAATAAAAAAACCTATGACTTTTAAATATTGAGCTACGTATTTATGTAGAAAAAAATTCAAACAAAAAATGGTATGAATAAACACAACACGATTAATATAATGAAAAAAAAGATATATTCAAACCACCAATGGTTTGAATACATTTTTCGGACTAACAATGATTTGAATGTCTTAGCTAGAATCTATTTCCTAGCTTGATGCCTCAAGTCGTGCTCAATTCATTTTACTTTTGTTGAATCCTAGGAACTCAAGTGCTTGAATACTAAAGAGTCTAAGCTTAAAGCTAATAACTTTAAACCCATGCGTTTGTGGTTTTGTAATGATATGGTTTTCTGCCACTATTAACCAACTTCAAATGCATAATTGACGGTGTTGGAGTATGGGGTCAATAAAGTAGTGAAAGGCACGAAGGTAGACTTGGTAGAAATGAAATCAAGGCACGAGAGAGTGGTGTTGTCTTTAAATGGAAAGTAGAAAAAGCTTGAAAGGGGAAGGTTTTAAAATGGCTAGGCATATCTAAACCACTAACAGTTCGAATATCTTGGCCAGAATTTATTTCTTAGCCCAATGCCTCAAACCATGCTCGTTTCATTCTAATTTTGTTGAATCTCAGGAATCGAAGCGCTTGAATACCAAAGAGTATAAATTTAAAGCTAATAACCTTAAACTTAGGTGTTCGTAGTTTTATAACTTCAAACGTGTAATAACTTCAAACGTATAATCGACAATGTTGGACTTTAGGGTCACTAAAGTAATGAAGGGCACGAAGGCAGACTTGGTAGAAATGGAATATGGCATGGGAGAGTGGTGTCATCCTTAAACAAAAAGAAGAAAAAGTTTGCAAGGGGAAGGTTCTAAAATGGCTAGGCATATTTGGACCAATGGAAAATTAGAGTTCCTTTGTTTCTTCATATTTAGTTAGTTTTTTCCTTTCTCCAATTTGAGGTTGTTGTTTATCTATGTAGGCTTTTAAATCAAGGTTAATCATTTATAAGAGATGATTTCTAAGTAATTTAGGTTTATCTTTGGTAAAATGCCTTTGGAAATTTTGGTTTCTAAGCAGTATTCCATTTTCTAGTGTTAGTAGTTGGTACATACAAGTTTTGCAGTTTAACTTGGTGCTTTATTTGAATTGTAGGCACACAAATCATTTTTATAGATTATAAGAAAGTCAGGTGCTACTACAACCTGTTGCGTGTTTATTAAATCCTATTGAGATCATTTTCATGGATTGGTTGTTAAATTTTGTTGCATGTTTAAGATTTAATTGTGGTGGATAAAAAGGGCAGTAAAGGAATGGTATTGTTTGATGGTAAATTTACTTTATGGAGGTTTTTGTGTATTGTAAAATGGGAATCTATGAATAAAAGTATGTTTTGTTGTTAAAAAAAAATTGACAATTGGTTTTTTTGCCAATACAACCAAAAAATAAGTCCAAGAAAAAACTATAAATAAAATAAAAGTGAATTACCAATTGTAAAGACAAAAAAATAAAATCTATATTGACGGAAAAAGCTATCTGTATCAAGGGAGTCAATACCATACCGGCATGAGTACTAGTTTTGTTACTGGAACGGTAAGTACCGGATACCGAAATTTTTCACGTATCGTTTCGGATTTATTGCTATAAATATATGTTTTTATAAATTAAATATCAAACTTTAAAATAAGATACGTGATACTAATATTTAAAACTATTATATTTCTATAAATTGAAAACAAGTTTAAACTAATCATTTTTAGTCCCTTAACTTCTAATATATGCATATTTTTCTTCCATTCACTTTAAATTAAGGGACTAAAAATGTGTATATTTAGACAAATTTAACAAAATAATTGATAGAAGGATTTTAAAAAAATGAAGAATGGACTAAAAAAGTACATAAAAAAGTTAAAGGATGAAACTTATGTAAAACATTAAAGTTAAGGACCAAAAATGAAATTTATTCTTTTTAAATTGGAATTGAGTTGTACGAACGCTTTTTGTGTACTGGAAGGAAATTGCAATTGCAGGAAGCCCCTAGTCCAAAACGACATCGTTTTGGGCCAGGGAATCCTTTTTTTTTTTTTTTTTAATTTGCCAGTGTATACCAGCTGAAATTTCGGTGAACCGGTCGGTACACCGAAATTTCGGCCAGTACACCGAATTTTTACCGAAATGATCAAATTTTGACAGAAACGAAAATTAATATTATACCGTTTCGGTTTACTTAAAAAACCAGTACGTATTGGCTGGTACGATGCGGAATTAACTTCTTTGGTCCATATAGATCCTTAACCTATTGGTGTATATAGAAGGAAGTTTAAGTTTTTAACAATGGAATCACATCTGTAAAGGTAAGGGTTTATACGAGACGAAAAAATCTCTTAAGGTTTCTCAGGGTCTATACCAATAGGCAAGTCTTCCATTGGAATAGATCCCAGGGGTCTATATAGACAAATTAAGTGTTGGTATATACCTTATATGGACAAGGTCTCTATTGACTAAAAGCTCTTTCGTCGGAATAGTCCTTGGGGATCTATATTGATGGAAAAAGGGTGTATACAGGTAGAAAACTTCTATCAGTATAGATACATCTGCTTGTAGTGATGGGTTACCTCCATCCTTGTCAAGATTAATTGAAGTGCTCTTAGGAGCAGCTATTGGTTTACCACACTCCATGATAAATTGCTTAAGCATCTTCTTTGTATATTTGCTTTCGTTGATGAAGATGCTTTCTTCAGATTGTTTGATTTGAAGTCCCCAAGAAGAAGTTAAACTCACCCATCATGCTCATTTCAAATTCAGCTTGTATAACTTTGGAAAACTCTTGACA